AGATTTGAAATTGTTGGTTTTTAGGAACTGTTTCCTCTTAGGAAAGAGGCAAAATGATCTGAGAGTGGCAATGAAGAACAAAGATTATATCTATCCCATCTCCGAGTCCACTGGGGTGTGGTCTATGAAAACAAAGAAAAACAACCCCATGGGCTGGGCATGGTGGCTCACGCCTGTAATCCCAGCACTTTGGGAGGCCCAGGTGGGTGGATCACCTGAGGTGAGGAGTTTAGACCAGCCTGGCCAACATGGTGAAACCCCATCTCTACTAAAAATACAAAAATTAGCCACGTGTGGTGGCGCGCGCCTGTAATCCCAGCTACTCGGGAGCCTGAGGCAGGAGAACTGCTTGTGACCAGGAGGCAGAGGCTACAGTGAACTGAGAGCTTGCCACTGCACTCCAGTCTGGGCAACAGAGTAAGACTCCATCTCAAAAACCAAACCAAACCAAACCACACCAAACCAATCCAAACCAAACCACATGAGCAAGCAAAAGGGAAAGCAGTATTGAAGAGAAAACCAGGTTTCCAGTAGAGCAAGGTGAAAAAGGTTTTGCCAGTAATGGACCATGAATTTCAGAGGGTACAGTGGACCAGTTTCAGGAGCTTAGGTGGGATGGGAGGAGACAGAATAGGAACCACACAGAACCTTATCGTGATTAAACTATGGGAGATGAAGGATGACCCAGGAGTCTGGGGCTGCCTGTGGTAAGTGACATAAATCAAGATAAATGGCATAATATTAGATCCAGTGGATTAAAAGAAAATGATGATGGAAAGGTTGGGGTGTAGAGGGGTATATGAGGGGCTGGTTTAGGTTCCTTTTTTATACCACTAGTAACAGTGAGATGACAACCTGGAGGAGGTATGGTACTTCTTCCATGTGAAGAACTTCTGGTAACCCCAGATAATAGGCATAGATTTATGTTTTTAAATCACAAGGGACTAGTATCTGATATTACAGAACTTCCTAATTTCTTTGTGCTAGTAGTCTGACCCTACGCAAAACCCAAGAGAAGCTAAGTAATTAAAAGGTAAGAATCCCAACAAGTGTTCACTTGGCTAGTACCACTAGTCCTAATCCTACCGACTTGAGTGGAGTAAGGAAATGATGGAACAGACATCCTTCTGCTAAGGGACTCAATGAACAAGGTAGAGCAGGTTGAGCTCTCACAAAATCTTGCTGCTAAAGGTTAAAGCTGCAGAAGCTACAAAAATTCACTAATAAAGATGCAACTGGGTGAGTGCCACCTAGTGGACAGAAGAGAATCACAGGGAAAAGGAAAAAGACCCTTAGATTCTTTTTGGGAAAGAATCAGCAGGCTTCCTGCTGAAATCTGAAGCAAAAAAATTATTTCAGGGCAGCAGACAGGAAAATCTATCTGTTATGGCTAACAGTTCTGACTTCTGGAACAACAGTACTGGACCCACACAGTCAAATGCTAACTAGAATACTGTTATTTTTTAATAAAATTCTCAGTTCTTAGTGAAGGTCTTACTTTTTAGCCAGAGTTTTTTCTAAATGACTGCCATTAAATATTTGCAGAACTGTTCTGATGCTCACAGTTCCCATAACACACCTCTTACTTTAACAAGTCTAATGTTCAATATTGTTTCTGGAAGGAAGGAATAAACCTAAAAATAAAAGTCACTGTACTTAAGACATGAGTTATCATTCACCATGCTATGGTTCAAGAGGTGGTAGTGTAATGATCACATAATCAACAAAAGAGAGTAAGAGAAGAAATACAAAATGAAAAACTAGTTTATCTTGTACATACAAATAATGAGCTGCCTAAGGCTACTATAGCAATGAAAATGCTCGCTTGGAGAAAATGAAACAACAACAAAAAAACCCAGAAATTTAACTACTGGACATGTTTCCAAGAAATTCAAAAAGAGTCAACAAAGAGTCCATGATAAAAGACTCCCTGCTGATCACTATAAGGAAAGTGAGAATGTGAAAAAGGACTAGAAGTTTTATGGCACTGCCTATCAAAAGTAAATTCAAAATATTCCCTGGCAGGGAATAAGTTAACTGAGTAAATAAATTCTTCATTTATGGGAAACAAAGCCTTCAGAAACAAGACACTAATCCTTAAAAGAGAAATAATGTATAAAAGAATCTGGAGTACAAAATTCTGGGACCAGTTCCTGTCTCTCAGCTCTTCTCTTGTAAAAAGGCACACATATTCTTGAACCATAATGAAGCAGTAACAAGAGACTTTTCACTACAGGAAGCAGATGTGCAGAATGAGGCAGCTGCTTTCTTCAATGCCCATTCTTGGAGGGGCCAGTAGGTATACTGAAGGTTTTAGGTATCAATAGAACATAAGGGGGATACAGGCATGCTTAACAAATAGCAGAGTTGTGTTTAGCAAGCAAGAGAGGAAATAATGCAATATGATGAAAACCTAGTGTCCAAATAGCTTCATCAACACTGGCAACCACCTGGACTGAAATCATCTAAGCAGTGCTTCTACTAGATAAACATGTCTTATTTCTTCAACTGGATTAGTTCTGCTAAAGTTGAATATAGTCAGAATATGCTTTCTCTTTTATAACCCTAAATATCTAGTATCTCACTTACTTTCCCTAATCTATTATTGTTCCCTTTTTTCTACTCAGTCGCTGCCAATTCAAGGACATTTGCGTCTGAGTGAATGAAGTGGTTCCTGAAGGCAGTATATCCCCTTTCTTGCAGCTTTTGTCCGGATCTAAGCTTTCAGAGACTCGTAGGGCAAGTACATACACACTTCTGAGAAGTAGAACGCTAGAACAAGGACTTTGGAGTCACTGTTTAGGGTCTGAATTCTGGCTCTGACACTTTTTATACAGTTTGGAAAAAGTTATTTAATCTATGTCACTACTTCATCTGGAAGATGAAATATTTACAAGGTTGATAGAGTAGTTATCTATCATTTAATTATATCATCAATATCAAGACTATGAATGACAGACTTGGTAACTGACACTGGCTTCAGTATTCAAACTGAACTGGTTCAATATTCAATTCAGTATTCAAGAATTACTTTTAAAAAGTAGTAAGGATGGCTGGATGTGGTGGCTCAAGCCTGTAATCCCAGCACTTTGGGAGGCTGAGGTGGGGAGATCACCTGAGGTCAGCAGTTCAAGACCAGCCTGCCCAACATGGTGAAACCCCGTCTCTACAAAAATAAAAAAAATTGGCTGGACATGATGGTCAGTGCCTGTAATCCCAGCTACTTGGGAGGCTGAGGCAGGAAAATCACTTAACCTGGCAGGCGAAGGCTGCAGTGAGCCACGATCACACCACTGCACTCCAGCCTGGGCGACAGAGCGAGACTCTGTCTCAGAAGTTTAAAAAAAAAAAAAAAAAGTAGTAAGGATGAAGATCTTTTTCTGAAATATAAATACTAGAGATGTTTAAAGCACTGGAAGTAAAGTATACTTGCTGTGATACTGAGATCTGGGTCTTCTGAGTGCTTGCAATTTTTGAGAGTTTGAAATTCCTTATCTGACATAAACCTAAACTCTAAATAAGAAGCACAAAGATCTTTTACTAAAGTTTTCTTTTTATTGGCCTTTTGTGAATAAGGGGGCCACTTTGGTATTTTAAAAACTACTACTATATCCCAATTCACAATGAGAATATAATGCCAAGGAAGACCACTAAACTGTATAAAACCCAACTAGAATTAATAGGAATACAAATGCACAGAATAAAAGGATGGGGACTGGGGTGGGGGGAGAAAAGAGGCCCAGTCAGTATTCATTTGCAATGGCACTAAGAGTGCAGAGCCCAGACTCAAGAAAGAAACTTATGCCAGAGGCCAACATAGGGATTCCGTGAACTTACAAATTAGAAAATCATTTAATTTTGACTTTGTCAACTAGTCTTTATTGATACACTAATACAGTATATGTGGTTACCATCACAATATTTTAATTAAGAGAGTGGAATTAATCCCGTAGGCTGGACTTTGGCACGGAAGGTGACAGTTTTCTTAGAAGAAAAGGCCATTTTGACCTGAATGATAGGGCAACAAGACAGATCTGAGCATTATGGTCTTATACTCCTAGATACACACACACACTCATATGCAACTAGGGGCCACCAAGGCACCTCGCAATCTGTTAGACTCCTTATTAGAACAAGGTGCTTCCATCAGATCACTTAAGGAAAAAATAAGAATTGCCTGTAAAAGTACTAACTGACTAGGGGGAGGCAGGGAAAACAAATGCTCCAAAGTTGCACTTAATTTTCATCACTAGGGTCATAGTAAGTCTCTAAACAAACAAAACTGCTGGAAGAAGATGAAAATATGAAATTATTGGGTTATAATTATCATTATACATGACAAGATCTTTTAAATACTCTCTCTCTCAGGAGAAGTAACTACAAGTACGCTATCACAAGGCAGCACAAAACCACAAGAATTAGGAAGTGAAGAAAGAAGAGAGCAAAGTAGATCAGCTCTTCTAAACTAAAAGGAAACATATGAAGGCTAAAAAACAAAAGCAAGAATTTATATAGAAAAAAATGGACCAGAAGTCAAGACTCCTGGTTCTGATCACATAACCTTGGGAAAGCTACCTAACTGTTCAGAGTCTATATATGCTACAGAATGGAGATAATACACATCCTGCCTGTCTCATAAGGCTTCTTTGCATATCAAATAGGGTAATATATGTTAAGGCACTATGAAAATTGTAAAACAGCACAAATGTAAGGTAATTATTACCTACGTTGTCCCTCACCTTCTAAAGAGATTAAGTATGTTGTAGTTTAACGTGAAACAAACTTTCTTCCCTATTAGTTAATGCCAAAGCTATTGGTCCTTTTGAACTCCAGGGGAGGAAAAAAAACCCAAAAAACCAAAAAACAAAAAATACCTAGCAAAGACAAGTCAACCCTCAATCTCTGGTCTCAGTTTTCTAATTAGAAATTCCTTTATATCTATTTCATCTTTTTCTCTAATATTCAAGAGACCAAACTAAAAGGCTCTTTTGTATTCTTACCTTTGGAAGCTGCAGAAGCAAAGTGCCAGGAGAGAGAAGGCATCCAATATTGGAAAGAAATGGAAGAAAGGGAATCACATATGGTTCTTTGTTACTATAGACAGTCACTCAGCCACCCAAACTGTTAAGAGTCTATCCAACCCTTATTAATTATGTACTTAGAACTGGAAATTGCACGTTAAGGCAATGCCAGAATCTGTTCAAAAGTATCATCAAAATGGGCCCAAATCAAGCTCTGTCACTTTAATCTCATATCCCTACAAGTTATACTGATACGAAATACCTACATACAATAGTTCTCTTTTCCAAACCAAGTAACTCCATAATATTTAATATAAAAACATATTTTCTTTCTTTTGAATGGGAAAACCCATCGGTCTTCCATCCAACGTACCCTTTCTATCCTCACCCAGGGAAAGGAAGGGAATAGGAAACCTAATGAAAAAATATTCTAAGCCCTACACTGGACCTTTGCATCAAAGAGGAAGGTACTCACTCTTGGTCTGGGCAGAGAAGGTAAGGGTAAGTTTGGCGAAAAGTTCATTGTTCTCAAAGCGGTCCTCCTTCACCTTTGTCCAGAAGCAGTCCTGGGAGAGGTCCTCAGCCACGAGCTGTGGATAAAGGCAGGGTGTTAAGAATTAGTAAACTGAGCCCTGTACTTTTCATCCTAGAAAATGGATAAGGCTATAAAGCAGGTGGCTGGCTGATTATCAGCAACGTCTCACTAAAATAAGACTAACTTGAGGCACAGAATAGCTGCAGTGGGATTAGGAGAGAATAATTCCAGTTTATTTGTTAATTGGTGATTATTCAAGAACTAGATTCATATATACTACGTATCCTCCTCCTAACTTCATATCCTCTAGCTTCATAAGCATTAAGTCTTTATTTCAGAGAAGTTTTGCTCATCATCATATTTTTCCCACCAGTTTGGCTAACTGTGCCAAATTTGCTCATTTTATGAGCAAATCCCTAAGGTCCTTTATATTAACTTGGTTTCTAGAAGCAAAAGGCTAACTCAGAATCACAGGCATCTCAAACACATCATGGGAACAATACTGTGCATGCAAATATGGTCTGTGCAGGCCAGGAGTGGTGGCTCACACCTGTAATCCCAGCACTCTGGGAGGCCAAGGTGGGCGTATCACAAGTTCAGGAGTTCGAGAGCAGCCTGACCAACATGGTGAAACCCTGTCTCTACTAAAAATACAAAAATTAGCCAGGCATGGTGGCACACGCCTATAATCCCAGCTACTCGGCAGGCTGAGGTTGCAGTGAGCAGACACTGTGCCACTGCACTCCAGCCTGGGCAACAGAGCGAGACTCCCATCTCAAAAAAAAAAAAGGGGGGGGGCCTGTGTAACTCACATCCTATGGAATTGGGGTAGGAGAGTAGATTCATAAATCCATGACTTTGGGATCAGCACAATTATCAGTAGTTTACAGACTAGTGAATGATTATTATCAAACCATGTGTTACCATGGTATTCAAAGTCTCAGAGAAAAGGCAAAAAACATTAAGTATAAGTTTAGTTAAGATTAAATTCAGAGTACAGGGTTCACAGAACTCTCCATGGTGATGTATGGAATAAAGAAGATGCCTAATATCTGCTGAATAAGATATTCAGCAGAATAAACATAAGCATGAGTGAAACTTAAGACAGAAAGATGTAAGCCCTAAGGAAGGCGCAGCCCATCCATGCACAAAACACAAAGTAGAAAACTGAAACTGTTTCTCAAGATTGACTGGTGAAGAAATAGAAACTCTTACCTTGGACCAGTTTGGCCTCCGGAGCTGCACCTCTGGCTTATAAAGCTTTTTAGGGGTTAATCCAAATGGCAGAACTGGGGCTGCAGGAACTCCAAATCCAAATGGGGGAAGTGGAGGCATACCCATTCCGGGTGGAGGTGGAGGAATGCCAGGGCCTCCAGGAAATGGAGGAGGTGGAGGGATTCCAGGACCACCAGGAAGAGGGGGAGGAGGAGGTGGCATTCCTGCTCCTCCTGGCAAGGGAGGAGGTGGAGGGGGGATTCCAGCATCCCCAGGCAAAGGAGGGGGTGGAGGGATGCCAACATCCCCAGGCAAAGGAGGGGGTGGAGGGATGCAGAAGTGGAGGATGCCAACATCCCCAGGCAAAGGGAGGGTGGTGGAGGGATGCCAACATCCCCAGGCAAAGGAGGGGGTGGAGGGATGCTAGCACCCTCAGGCAAAGGAGGGGGTGGAGGGATAGCAGTACCTCCAGGTAAAGAAGGGGTTGAGGAGATGCAAACACTCCCAGTCAAAGGAGGTGGAGGAAGAGGTAGAGGTGGAGGAGGAGGAGGAGGAGGAGGAGTGGTACTATCCCCAGGAGCAGGTGGTGGTGGAATACCAGGTAAAGGAGGGGCCGGGGGAGCAGTAGCACTACTAGGAACAGAAGGAGCTACAGTAATAGCCGCCGCAGAGAGGGAAGCCATTTCTTTCTTGGCATCTTCCAGTTCCTTTGTCAGCTTGGCAACCTACAGAAATAACATCAATGTGAGTACTTCTCACCCTACTTCAGGGACTACTGAGCCTGGAAGGAACCTAACAAATGACTTAATCCAAACTTCTCATGTTACAAATGGAGGAACTGAGGAGTCAGAGAAATGATATGATCACCTAAAGTCACACTGCTTAGCAGCAGAGCCAAAACTAGAATTCAGGTCTTCATGTTCTTAGTTCAGCATGCTTTGTATGCTTTGTATTAAGACGACGATTTCAACTTTTATGTTAAACTCTCCCTTGATTAGAAAATGCAAAGTCAAGTATATCAAACGTTCTAGTTATATAACTAATATATGTGCTATACAGATGATTATATAACCACACAAGTAATCAAGTTATCAGATACTTGATTTAAAGATCATTTAAGTATTTACTACTGCAGAGAGAGTATATAAGGATAAATCTGTGCAGACATGACTAAAGTAACAGGAAATTAGCCAATTTTTAACAGTTTAGTTTTTATTCCTAATTTATTAGAAGACTTATTACCTTTATTTCTGGGTGGTAATGCAACTTACTTTACTCTTAATGTTTTTCTGTATTTTCCAGATTTTCTGTCTTATGTATTACTTACCCTCAACACAAACCAAAAACCAGTATATTATTTTTAAAATATGCACCATGTAACTAGACTACCTATTAGTAGCTGAACCCTCCCTAGGAGTAAGATGACTGACTCCTGTTCCAAGTCATGTGCATCCAGAGATTACAGGTCACTCTGCCTTCCCTGCTCAGGCATTACCTCTCCTGTGAGCTGGGACACCTCTGCTTCCAGGTCCTGTTTCTCTGTGGCAATTTGTTGCTTTTCAGAATGCAGTGCATCCTTTTCTCCCTGAAGATCTTGAAGCTTCTGCTCAAAGTCACTTTCCAGCTTTTTCATTTCCACCTGTAGCTCATGTCGGGCTGTTAACTCTGAGTCCAGCTAGAGAAAAAACGAATCAGGCTCCCAGCAAGCTCTCCATCTCAGTAAGAAGTACAGTATTATTACCCATAATTCCCCCCACCTCCTCTTTTGCCTGGGGGTGCTGGAATCCCCTCCCCCCACCATCTCCTGTTCTGGGCCAATACTTGATCTACAGAGCTCACAAATCCAGGCCATGCTTGGGGAAAAAAGCACCATGATTCTGATCTTAAAATCAAGGTCTGGCTGTGCGCGGTAGCTCACACCTGTAATCCCAGCACTTTGGGAGGCCTAGGCAGGTGGATCACCTGAGGTCAGGAGTTCGAGACCAGCCTGCCCAACATGGTGAAACCTCACCTCTACCAAAAATACAAAAATTAGCCCGGCATGATGGTGGGCGCCTGTAATCCCAGTTACTTGGGAGGCTGAGGCAGAAGAATAACTTGAACCCGGGAGATAGAGGTTGCGGTGAGCTGAGATCACGCCACCGCACTCCAGCCTGGATGACGGAGTGAGACTCCGTCTCAAAAAAATAGAAATAAAAATGAAAATAAAACAATCAAGGTTAAAGGAGAGGGGAATCGGTTCATTTCCATAGATTCCCTCTTTTTATAGTTAAAAACAAATAATAAGATTTTAAAGGTATTTAAATAGGACAGCCATGATAGTATAATCCCAATATTCTCTAGGATCAAAAACCTACTAACCACAATAAGAGTTCTTAACAACTGAAGAGAAAAAGATAACTCTGAAATCCTCTAGTTCTACTGTTCTAAGGACCCTAGTTCCTATTGTTCTAGGCATAAGAGGCCTAAAATGCCAAGCAAACCTGAGAGTGCCATTACTATGAGTATCATCTGTCTTTCTTTTCCTGCCCAGTAGCCCAAGAACTGCAAGCCCACCACTAGAGCTCCTCATGAAGACATCCATATCACTTTCTCCAAAGACTAACCTACACTGGAAAGGTTTCCCCTGGGCACTACACTATTGGGTGCTAAACGCTTCCAAAATACCACAGAAAAAAAACTGTCTCACAGATCAGGAAAATAATAATCCTCAAAGAAAGATATACTCAAACACATGTTTTTGGTCTCTCATATGCACCTGCTTTTCCAGCTCTGCAGCTTTGGCTTCAGATTTCTCTACCTTTGTCTTATCAATCATTTGATCTGAAAAGAAGAAGAGTCAGTAAGTAAAGCTCCTAATTCTCTTGGTCTATTTATTTCATACCTAAGCCCTTCCAAAGAACAGTCTTTTTGATCATTTTTATTATCTTTCTTAATGTTCTGCACTAGACAAAGACATGAAACTTTCGGTTAAGTTCAACATGTAATCTGAGTGTGTGGTAAGGCCACCATGTTGGGTGGCATGAAGAATGCCTATGAGTGATACTTTTGACTCTCTGAGACCACCAGGAGTTCCTGCAAAAGGTGCTGGTGTGTGTTTTATGTAAAAATAAACTAAAGACCTATAGATTCCTAGCAAAAATGCTGGTTATTAAACCTAAGAAATGACAAAAATGGAAGTATCTGGGGACTGGAAAGGTATCTTCTCTGACATTTTCACTGAAACAAGATGCAAAATGAAAGGAAGAAGCAATACTTGGGAGAGACAGATAGAAGAGTATGCTTACCAATCAATCCCTCAATCTCAATCTGGAGGTGACGGCACTTGAAGTCAGGATCAGCCCCATTCTTGTGCAGAACTATCTGGGAAATACATTCTTCAATCAACTTATAGTACTGAGGTCTACAAGAGAATAAAACAGGGTCACCAAAGGAAAATCAAAATATAATTTTCAGAAGTATTCAGGACCAAGAAAACTTAACTGCTTTGACAACTAAGAGACCTGGAAAAATTTTTGTAAAGTTAATACAAGTATCACTGCCATGCTAAGAAAACTCCTTTTTCCACATCAGCTACCCTACCCCATCTACTTCAGATAATCAAAACTTCTTGCCATCTGCTCCTAGTGCCAACACTTTCCCACCTAAAAATTTGGGTTTGATCCTTCCTGTGATGGATAGTGCTATTGCTAAATCTATACTTCTAGGAAACTACAAAGAATTTTAAATTGCCACTTCTCTTTGCTATCATCTTCATCCTATTTACCTACTCCCCTCCAAAAACAGAAGGGCATTTCACCTTATACACTGTGACCTCTTCCATAGGGATGTCTTTGAGTTGGATTAAAGAAATAAGACAACTTCCTTTATTTCTGTGACTAATGAACCCTAATCTTGGGTCTTTGTCTTTACTTTCTCCCTTTACAGAACAAGCTTTGAATTTAAGGAACTCACTCTCTCCACTTAGGCTCGAATTCAAAACTTCCCATAAGCACACCATCTTACCTGGCCTCATAGTCATTTCGGACCAAGAGTAAGTGTTGCAGGATGGAAAGGAAGTGTGGCTCTGCCTTTGAATCCTTCACTGTGTTTAAGAGAATCTGAAAGACTTCATTAAAGTCAGTGGAAAAGGGGAATAGGCTAAGGAAAGCAAATATGTAGAAATTATGTTTGACAGGTGGTTTATTTAACTCTTGAAAAAGCTAGGGAAAAGTAGCAAGACACCACTTCCATTCTACTGGCTGTTCTTCCTGTAAACATCACCAGAAACTTTAAGCTCTCTAAAACGTTCTTTAGTCAAGGGACCAGTGAGTTGGGTGGTACTATACACACAGAGGTTTCCTAGTAAGTACCCGGCTTGAAGATCAGGCAGTAGACAGAAACTAAGAGGTAACTGCCTCAAAGTCACTTATTGAAAATATTAACAGGTAACTAAATTACTCCCTCTGTCAGTTCAAACATCTCTAAAAGCCAGTTCTACATCTTAGTAAGCTAAGCTATCACATTCTAGGAAGCTTACACTGATTTTGATGGCTTCCATGCTCAACAACCCTCAGATCACCTTTACTGACTTCCCTGGTCTATAAGGTAAGTAAAGCCAGCAGCAATAAAAATACATCTGCCTTATTTAATGAGAAGACACATAAGACCGATGCTCTGTTCTGAGTCATCATCTCCCAAACCATTCCACACAGGGATCAGGGAACTAAATACAATGAATGTCTCATCTGTCTTGAACCTAGTCAGTAAAAGGATATTCCATCTCCATGCGAATGTCATCCAGCCGTCCCTTCAGGTCATAGGAATCCTCTTCCCCTTGTTCATCAAACACATTTAGTTGCACTCTCATATCTTCGTTTTCAATCTCTCGAAGGTCCTATCAACAAAAGTAGAAGTTAGGGAAACCCAAAAGTATCCTCTGTGGTTAGAAACCTAAGCTTTTCAACCTGGTTTTTAATTGAAAATCAGAATTATCCCAGGGATGACTGGAGCTGTAGAGCAGGAAGGAACCAGTCTAGCCTTTCTAATGAAGTGTAATATCTTACCTGCAACACCTGATGTAGCCCCAAGCGCATCAGTTCACTTCTGATGTGAACTCGGAAGTCAAGTTCCTCAGCTGGTGTGATGAGAGCATTGATCAGCTGTAGGCATCCAACCTAAAATAAGAAAATTCAGCAGCTATGTCAATGCTAACTCCTGGAGATCAAGAATCCATTTTCTTTACATGCATTCTTAGGTCCCCAAATACAACTTGAAAGATACAGTCCAAAAACTCTAAAAATGACTTTTCTACTATAGCAATGAGACCTGGTTTGAGTACAGAACTGGAGAGCCTAAAACTCTAAATGGATTCCAAGGATTTGACAGTATGTTATTGTAGGTCTCGGTTTTCCTAGATTGTAAATATATATCATGCCTTCTTCCATCTCATAATGAGGAAAACAGTTCATTCTTTACCTTCTTAGAAAGAAGGTTCATCATTTTCCCTTCATAACAGATTCTGAAATGTAAAATATATAGTTGGGAGTCACTCCATGTATTTTATTAAAAGGTCAAATGGATTTGTCTGTCCATCTTGAATTCTATTATCGGGCCCAGTTTCAGGGGCTATACATGCCTTCAATGCAATAGTGGTCCCACTTTTTAATCCATCCAGTAATGGCTGGAAACGTTCCACTTCATCCATCTCAGCTCTTTCTGTCATTGCCTCCAAAACCCTTTCATTCCTGCCCAAGAGAAAGGAAATGGAGAGAACTTTCCAGGTACCCTAACACAAATTAGTAGATTACACAGGGGCACAGACCACTTAGGAAACAGGACATTATTAGTGTTCCAGATTTCTCACATTATTGTCACCACTCAGTTTCCAGAAACTGCTGAAAGCTAAGGACCATCTCTTCAGGGAAATGCATTCCCTACAATCCATCCCTAGGCTCCTATCCATAAATACCAAATCAAGTGCCCTGTTCCACGGAGTATAAATTGATACAACTTTTGGAGGGACATTTAACAGTACTAATCAATTTCTCATGCATGTAACATATAGTCTACTTCTAGAAATGTATCCAACATACGTGCATAAATGTGAAAGAAGATATACACAAGGATGTTCACTGCAGTATCATTTGTAAAAACGATCACCTAGAACAGATACAGAAATCTGCTTTAAAAAATATCTGTAGGTTGGCTAGGCACGGTGGCTCACGCCTGTAATTCCAGCACTTTGGGAGGCCAAGGCAGGCAGATCACAAGGTCAGGAGTTCGAGATCAGCCTGGCCAATATGAAGAAACCCCATCTCTACTAAAAATACAAAAATTAGCCAGGCCTGGTGGCGGACTCCTGTAGTCCCAGCTACTTGGGAGGCTGAGGCAGGAGAATCACTTGAACCCGGGAGGAAGAGCTTGCAATGAGCCGAGATCGCGCCACTGCCCTCCAGCCTGGGGAACAGAGCGAGGCTCCGTCTCAAAAGAAAGAAAGAAAAAAAAAATCTGTAAGTCCAGCAACAGGGAAATTGTTAAATAAATTATAGCCCATACATACATGTATATGGAATACTAAATAGCCACTAAAGATAATAAGGTAGATCTGTAAGTACGGACATAGAAGAAATGTCCAAGATCTATTATTAAAAAGAAAGAGGTTGAAAAGAATGATTAAGCTTTCGTTAAACCAAATCCCTCTTCAATAATAAAAATCTATCCTATATATGCAGTTGGTTTTATAGGCATAAGTGTCATTCCTCAGCTCTTAAGATACTATCTTTTGTGGTAGCAGATGTCTAGAATCAAGGGAACGCAATATGTTTGTCTATGCTTAGAAAACTTTCTATGAGACTATTCCATGCCATTAACAGTCATTGTCTCTGCAGAACAGGATTTGGCAAAGGGATGAGGCGGTTAAATTTTACTTTACATACTTCTATATTGTTTGAATTTTAAAAATAACATTGTGTCACTTCTGAATTAAAAAAAAAAAAAAAAAAGAATAGTAAAAAGAAACCCTCATCCTAGACAATACAGACATTAATGGTGATATGGGAGACATTTTGCTATACCTCTGATAACCAGTGGAACATTCAGGATAGCACCCATCACTTAGGAATTGTTCTTAAATGTTAAGATTCTTAGTGTTCACTTCTGGGAAGAAACACAATCTTACCTAGTATTTATGACCGACGGGATACCCAACCAACTCAATTGTCCTCTAAACTAAGAGAAAATGATAAAATTGAAAATGGAGAAGAAAAATGATTCTAGTCACATACATGTCCTCTGGCTGCGGTAGAATACAAAGAGCAGAAAGCAGCTTAGCTGCATCAATCATCATGTTGGGAACAGCAGGATCCATGGCTCTGACCAGCAGTAGGATTCCTTCTTCTGTCTCCAGCATGGTCTTGATTCCAAACTGGTAGGGCCAAAAACAAAGAAAGGAGCCTGAAAGATGATAGCATCTAACTGGGGACAAGTTTAGGGGTTGGGTTGTTATGGGTTGAATGGTGTCCTCTTAAATTCCAGTGTTGAAGTCCCAACCCCCAGTAACAAAATGTAACCTCATCTGGAAATATACTCATTGCAAATATAATTAGTCAAGCTACAATGAAGTCATACTGGGGTAGAATGGGTCCTTAATCCAATATGGCCAGTGTCCTTATAAAAAGAAGAAATTTGGATACAGATACATACAGAGGGAGAACACCATGTGATCACATAGGCAGAGATCAGGATGATGCATCTACAAGATAAGGAGTGCCAAGGATTGCCAGCAAGCTACCAGAAACCAGGAGGGGTATGGAACATACTATCACACACAGCTTCAGAAAGAACCAACCCTGCTGATACCTTGGATTTTGAAATTCTAGCCTTTCTAGAATTGTGAGATAATAAATTTCTGTTAAGACACCTAATTTTGTGGTACACTAGAAAACTAATACAGGGGTAGAATACTTTTCCCAATATACTTAGAGATGAACATACCAAAATAATTTTCTAGGAGGTACGACAGAATTAGATGTCTTCCAAGAATAAAAGTCTTTGGTTTATATGTTTCTTGCTAATTCTCTTCCTCCTAATCCAATGGAATAAGTTAATTACAACAAAATTAAACAACGAGGAAGAGAGATTTGTCCTCAGAGGCACATGATTGTGGGCTCCCTGGGTTGAATTACTAAATAGACAAAAAGAAGATAAAAATGGAGCAACAGTCTAGAAGAAAAAAGAAATAGGAAATAAAGCAAATATTGCAAAAACAGTAACTACAGGTCAGGAAATTCAAGAATTAGCAAAAGAAAGTAAAGAAAGAGAGGCCGGGCACCGTGGCTCACGCCTGTAATCCCAACTAATCCCAGCACTTTGGGAGGCCAAGGCAGATGGATCACAAGGTCAGGAGATCGAGACCATCCTGGCTAACACGGTGAAACCCCGTCTCTACTAAAAATAAAAAATAAAAAAATAGCCGGGCATGGTGGCGGGTGCCTGCAGTCCCAGTTACTTGGGAGGCTGACGCAAGAGAATGGCATGAACCCGGGAGCTGGAGCTTGCAGTGAGCTGAGATTGAGCCACAGCACTCCAGCCTGGGTGACAGAGCAAGACTCCATCTCAAAAAACAAATAAACAAAAAAAAAGAAAGTAAAGAAAGAGAAACAACACTGAGCCTGTCCTCTGAAACAGAAGTTAGAACTGAGAAAAAATATCCATAGAAGCATGTATACGTGGCAATGAAAAACAGTTATGATACTAAAAGAGAAAGCCAGAAGTCCTGAACCTCATATTCCTAGTTCCTCTTTCGGGTTTGCCAATAGAAGAGAAAGAACAGGCGTCCAGATGGGGTTTGGAATGAGAATGGGAAAAATCTCACCTTGTTGTTCATAAAAGCTTTCAAGCAGCGAATAATCTCATGCTTGTTCCGGCTATCGTAACTCCTGTACATAGAAGACATAATTAGTGAGGTCCCTTTATTCTCTACCCCTTTCCCATTTTAAATCTTGCAAACAAGATTCTTAGGAATAATAGCCCCATCTAGTAGATGAGTAAATTTTAGGAAATAGCACTTTGCCCAGAAACACTGAATAGATAACTGAAAAAGGATCTTCACCGTCAAAAAATCTGGCTGATCCTCTTGTAATCCAAGAATTAAGTATTAAATTAAAACCTTCCTTTTAACTCTCCCTAGGCTCCTGAGTGCTAAATTCTATCAGGATAACATCCCATCTATTGCTGCTTGCCTCACTACTAGAGGTTTCAAGTCTGAGAAGATATATGCAGGTCTTGGCCATGTATTATTTTGTTTCAGAAAGATTCCAGAAGTACTCTGCTTCAGGCTGGCTTCAAGGTAGCCTAAGAGAGTCCAAGGTATACCTAAAATTATTCCAACCTTGAAGAATGCCACAATACGAGTTCCAAGTATACTATAAGACTTCCAAATAGATATTACCCAGACCAGATTACAGGGCAGCACTAAATCAGATTTTATTTCCAGATTGAAAAAGAATCAGTGCTGGGAGACTAATAGTATTATATGGTATATATTAGAGTTATCCAACATGAAATTTAAGTTCCCCCTCCCTTTCCTATATCTATAATCATCATTCATCCTCTAGTCACCACTATAAGCCCCTTCTCAGTTAAGAGTACATTCCTCTAGCCCACGACTTTACATTTAACTCTACTTTCTACTTCAGAGCAAACAGCAAAGTCCCCTGTGACTCTCCAACTTGAAGTTACAAAGACTTGGAAATCCTCACCCAGCAGTCTCTTCTTTCTCATCATGAAGTCGTTTAAGAATGTCCAATAAGGAGGCCAAGCCTTCAGCACCAAATGTTTGCACCCAACTGTAGGGAACAGAGAAAGGCAAAGCAATATCAAATTAATAAACACTTATTTGCCAAACAAAGTTTATCCTGACAACTTTCTACTCCCAATTCAGACTATTCTCATACTTCCCCAGCTCCTTTGATCGTCAGTCATCATCAGTGAAATCCAACATTCAGCTCCTACTCCTGTTACCTCCTCAGAATCCTCACCTGACGGGGTTGTTGTTAAGAGACACACGAAGGGATTCCAGGCAGCTGAGCAGAGGCATATCCCGCAAGCCTGACCTCAACTCCTGAATATACATCATGGCAGACTTAGAGCTCTCCTTCTGGCTCATGCCCTGGACAGGAGGCAGAGACAGAGATTAGTAATGGTGGAGCCAGTCATAAATTAGGGACTAGCATTAGTCAAGAGAGTTTATATTTTATTTTTATTTTTTATTTTTAGTAGAGACAAGGTCTTACTACGTTGCCCAGGCTGATTTCGAACTCCTGGGCTCCAGCGATCCTTCTGCCTCAGCCTCCCAAAGTGCTGAGATTAGAGCAGTGAGACACCACGTCAGGCCACGTTTATCAGGGCAGATACCCATCTCGCATACCACCAAAATATGTGAGACTTAGAACTGCCTATCCCATTCCCTATATTTACATACTTCATGAAAATTTAACCAGGCAAAAAGTATGTAAGCATGGCAACTAAGTAAGAGAGTAAAAAGTGAATAGGCTTATATAATATAATGAAACCGAATTGATGCAGACATAAAATGTTACATAAAATTGGCCAAAAAAAAAAAAAAACAGGTCCAAGACAAGGGCACAGTCTCCCATGTCATGGGTACCTGCCCCAGGACTCACAGCCTTGGAGGTGTACAAGTACTGGGACACCATCTCCCTCTTGATGATGATGTCCTTCTCCCTCAAAGGTTGCTGTTTCTCCTCATTCAGGTTCATATCCAGCTAGGAGAGGGAGAAAAAAGAGAAAAAACAAAATTGCCTCAAATTCCTTACAAATTTTTAGTGTTTAATATTAGTATGCTTAGTGAAGAGTTGAGCATGTAAAATGCTTATTGAGTAAATAAATCTTTTTGATCCCTAGAAATTTAAGCTATTACAGCTGATGAAAATTCCTCAAAGATAAGTTAACATTTTACTATAAATCTCTATAGACATATACACACTCTTTCTTTAAGAAAAATGGACTCAATAAAAATGGAAGATTTATTTTGTATTATTGAAAGAAAACCACACATAATGCTTTCTGCATCAAGGACGGACCTTAAAAATCTCTTCAGACTGAAGCACTGGATGAATGGCATAATCTAAACACAAGCAAAATCAACAGCAGCAAACTCTGCACCAACTCTAGGGCATACAAACCCATTACCCCCAGTTAACTCAGTCCCTGTACAAACTCCTTTCCCACAAAGAAAGAATTGGAAACTCTATGATAAAGCAGAGATACCTTGACAGACATAATCTGATGTATGTTTGGGGAAAGGCTCTGTTTGATCCTTCTACATATATAACAACCATGTGTCCAAGTCTAGTACCTCAGTGGGCACAAATTTAGCCCTAATAATTCCAGAATGTTAATTGAATTGAGAAAAATATGGATGGGGGGATGTATTCTATTTCTTCTGCAAGTAGCAAAATTAATCTGAAGTTTTTGTGACTTAATTCCTGGTGCTTTTTTTTTTTGAGACGAAGTCTCACTCTGTCACCCAGGCTTGAGTGCAATGACACAATCTTGGCTCGCTGCAACCTCCAGCTCCCAGATTCAAGTGATTCTTCTGTCTCAGCCTCCTGAGTAGCTGGGATTACAGGTGCCCGCCACCACATTCAGCTAATTTTTGTATTTTCAGTAGAGACAGGGTTTCACCATATTGGCCAGTCTGGTCTTGAACTGCTGACCTCGTGATCCACCCACCTCGGTCTCCCAAAGTGCTGGGATTACACGTGTGAGCCACCACTGCCAGCCAGGTGCATTTTTCCTCTTGCAGATAAACTGAACATAGAAGTTACAAACTGGTGGCCCTCAAGTTAAGTCAAATCAAAGATAAAATGTTTCACTTGGCTAGCTCAACATTTTAAATCTGGGGGACCTTACATAAAAATACAGATCTCTAGTAAAACAGCACCAACGGATGCAACCATCAAATTTCATGTTGTGGGAAACTCTACAGGTCAAACAAATGGTTTCTTCAAAAATTTTTTTTTTTAGTATCAATAATAAGGATAAAAGAAAAAGAAGTGCAGTGGCTCATGCCTGTAATCCCAGCACTTTGGGAGGCCGAGGCAGGCAAATCACAAGGTCAGGAGTTCGAGACTAGCCTGGCCAACATGATGAAACCCCGTCTCTATTTAAACTACAAAAATTAGCCGGGCATGGTGGTGTGCACCTGTAATCCCAGCTACTTGGGAGGCTGAGGCAGGAGCATTGCTTGAACTCGGGAGGCGGAGGTTGTAAGTCTTGCTATGCTTGCGACAGAGCAAGACTCTGTCTCAAAAAAAAAAAAAAAAAAAAAAAAGGAAGGGAAACCTATAGTTTAAATGAAAATTGAGAATATCAGTACAGTGGACTATATTTGGAATTGAGATTTGAACAAACTAGTGTTTGAAAAATGACCTAACTGGAGAAATTCAAATAGTGACTAGGATATTTGATGTTATTCAAGATTTATTTTTTTTTTAAATTACAGATTTCTGACCTTCTTTTGAAAAATAGAAATATCTGGCACTCCTAGGCAAGTATTCCCAACTGGAATGCAACCACTTACTAGAACTGAGTTGTGGCTGGCTTTTCTAATAAAAATGCCAAAAGCCTCTCTTCAATTTGCCACATTCCCCACTTATTTTGTCATCTTCTGTCTAGCCTGCTTACCTTATTTATACTACCTGCCTGGCCCAAGAGACATTTAAACTTGCAATCCAAGGCCAAGAGATTATCCTGATAGACCATACTCTTTAGACTCTTAATGTACTTGGAATATTAAGAGACAAACTGAAAGATTCATTGAAAAATAACAACAGTAGTACCAGTTGAGTGCTTACTATGTACCAGGCCCTGTGCTAAGGATTTTAAACCTAAGCTTTTAATTAAGCTAGGCCTGCCACTAGTCTCTATTTGAATCTGAGATCACACATCCATGCAATATACAGGTCTTAGGAAATCCTGTACTCATCAAAACTTTCCAAGACTTACCACTAATGGACACTCATTGAATACCCTCCTTATTCGGTGTTCCTCACTGAGGAAAACAAAGTAAGTCACATGCACATATACTTCGTTACTTAGCTGACTTCAGACACAATCTTTAAAGGTCTTCTAGCAATTCTACGTATTTTCTTTCCAGATTCACCACTAAATACAGGACCTTGAGCAAATGATATTCCATTCTCAGTTTCTCCTTTATACAGTTTGTTGTGAATACTTCAACACTTTATCTGCTCTGGCTTAACCCAAAGGTGGTCTCCATACTACCATCTTTGGCACACAGGGTGAGATGGTCCACTATGTCTTTGTGGCTAAAGTGTTGCTGGGCAGAAGGACATGAACAAGACAGTGATCAGATGTTTCCAAATACAGATTCCAATTTTATGAACTGGTATTTGTATATTTAGTTCCTAATTATGGGATTATAGGGTTAATATTAAGAATTTCCATGTTAAGCCTGGAATTCTTTGTAATAAAGTGCTAGTTAGGGAACTATGCACCAAAAAGAGCCCACCATGCCCATAAATTCCCAGGAAGAAGCAACATTTTGGGAATGGAAAACTTACCAGCATCTGTTCAAAGAGAACCAGAACTTGTTCATCTGAAACATCTTGCAATGACTGTGCTGTGGGATCATCCCCATATGATGCAGAAGAATTTCTATGAGCAGAATTGGGCTTTTCCTTCTCCTTCTTAATTCTCATGCTGGTAAATCTCTCCAGCTGAGAAACAGAAAAAAGCATTAGCAGTGATCCATTTTCACTTACATAACAAACCACACATCAAATTCTTTACCCCTTTAACCTCTTACACGGGCATGGTTCCTCTGGTTCACGAGCAGTTCAAGACTCTTCTGACATGAAAAGAAGAAATCAGTCTTCCTCCTATCTAACTTAGTATACTGACTCTGTAATCTCATCTATGTTCAAAGATAACAGAACCAAAGTATTAAGATTTCAAACCTCTTTACAATAGAAGAAACACTGTTCTTGATCTCCCCTACCATTTCTAAGTCTTGTAAAGTAGTACAGAACTGAAAGCCTCTTATGACAGAGTTCTATCAATAAAATGCCCTTTGTTTCCTTCTAGCTACCCAACAATAAATGTTGCTAGGACCCCAGAAGATGCCTCCCTTAAAGAGGTATTACTACAGAATTTAATAGATATAAGCCACATAGGATAAACGTGTCCTTAAAGTCAGGATTCATTCCTTTCTCTTGAATTTGTACACTCCACAGCACTTGTGTAATGTAAGCAGCAAAAGTTCAATATATATTCTTCAAAATCCCCTTTACATGACATCTCGTCAGCAAATACAATGTACCTCAGGGGTATATATGCCATCTCTCTGCCAAACAAATGCTAATAAGCCATTCCTCAAATCTCAAATACCAATGCTTACATCAAAAAGAGTCCCCAATAAGCAACAGCTTATCAGCTCTCCTCGTTAGAAAATAACAGTAATTATCTGTAAGTATTATAGAGCTTCAAGTGATATCAGTGGCATTCAGACTGCAAGTCAGTTTGGAGTTTAAAAAGCATGCCTAACTTCAGAAGATAATGAAGGTCCATGGAAATGCATGCAATGGGCCAAACACAGAGCAAAGAGTTAGGAAAAAAGCCTTGAGATACTGAGTAGAAGCCATATCACCACTATAAGTTACAGAAAGTCAAAGTTATGAAAACTGGTAAATATTATAGTGTAGGCAATGAGCTAGAACATGCACATGCTAAACAAAATGTCCTTACCTCATCTGCCATGAGCCGCTTCAGAGTCTAGGAAACAGGAAAAAGGAGGGAGAAGAAAGAAATCAGTGAAGTACAAAGAAACCTCCCAAACACCAGACGGGTTGGGGAAAAAAGGGAGAGAAGTTGAAAGGATCCAAGCTACTTTCCACAAGCTAATGATTTCTATCAAAGTACTCCTTAGCACATTCCCTCAAGTAAGGGGCAGGAAGAATTTTAAGGTCACTAACATATGACTCTTAAAAAGGAAAAAAAAAAAAAAGAACACGACGCAGAACTGAACAGAATCCGAATCTGATGACCTTATGAGATATGCTCATATGGTCTTATGCACTTATAAGTGCATATGGATATGCACTTATGAGATATGCTCAACTTCACAGTAAATAAGGCAATGCGAATTAAAACCACAGTGAGACATCAATTCACACTCCCAAGACTGGAAAAAACGCTCATGTCCGTCTAGTCACAGACCAACAGGAACTCTTGGTGGTACTATAAAATGCTATAGCCACTTTGGAAAACAGTAAGGCATTATCCAGTAAAGTTAAATATGCACATGTACCACAACGCAACACATCAATTTCTATGTAACTACCCTGCTGAATTTTGCACATATGTAGTGGAATGTGTATACCAAGAGTGTTCATAGTAACACTATGACATGTAAAACAGAAAACAATGCAAACGGTCATCAAGAGTAGGGTTTTCTGATCTGCCATCTGGATATATTGGAACCATCACCAAAACACAAATTTTCATAAAAATTCTTAAGGGGGAGGCCATCACTCTGGAGGTTGAACCCTTGGATAAAACAAAATATAAAGGCCAAAATCCAGGATAAGGAAGGAATTCCTCCTGACCAATAAAGACTGATCTTTGCTGGCAAGCAACTGGAAGGCGGATGTGCTTTGTCTGACTACAGCATTCAAAAGGATTCGACTCTTCATCTTGAGACTTTGTGGTAGGGCTAAGAAAAAGAAGTTTTACACTACTCCCAAGAAGAGTAAGCATGAGAAGAAGGTGAATCTGGCTGTCCTGAAACACCATAAGGCCAATGAGAATGGCAAAAGTAGACACCTTCGTTGGGAGTGCCCTTCAGATGGTAGTGTTACAGTGTTTATGGCCAGCCGGCCACTCTGACAGATATTATTATGACAAAAGTTGTCTGATTTATTGCTTAAACAAACCAGAAGACAAATAATTGTGTATGAGTTAATGAAAGATGTGAACTAAAAGAGGAGAATGGACAAATATACTGGTATACTGGTATAAGGAAAGCAATTTCACAAAGAAAGTGAATGAACTTACAGCTATTCATAAATATAATATTGAATTATTATTTCATTTACATTCAGCTTAAAAACATGTAACACTGTATTATTTGGGATGTAAAATTATTACATAAAGGAAATAATTACCATAAATGTCAAAACAGTGGTTAGTTGGGGTGGGTGGGGTGGGGTTGTGACTGGGGAAGGGGACAAAGCAGCTACTGGGGTGTTTACAATATTCTGTATCTTGACATGGATCACATGACTGTCTAGTTTATAATTATCCTGTACGTTTTACATTCTCTTCTGCATACATGTTATACTTTACCCCTCCTGCCCCCCAACCCCTCGCAAAAAAATAAAGTCTGAATGAGCAAGTCTGGGAAAGTGGGAATTTGTTTTCATCCTGCTTAATTTTAAACAATATTTTTTTTCATTAATGTCCTTAGAAGCGTATAGTAAATCTCTCTTTTTTTTTTTTTTTTTTTTTTTTTAAAGAGACAGGGTCTCCCTGTGTTGCCCAGGCTGGTCTCGAACCCCTGGGCTCAAGTGATCTCCCCACCTCTGCCTCCTGTGTAGCTGGGATTTCAGGTGCATTCCACCACACTCAGTTGGTAAATGCTTCTTGAGTAACCTTCCCCAACTAATGAAAAACTAGTTCCGTTTCTGCCACAAAGCTATTTTTCCTCTTTTACAGACCAGAAAAATCTACATTATTATGTTCACGTTCCCCATATAACACAGCTCAGTTCAATCCAGTGTAAACTGTGAATGTAGACTTCGTCCATTTTTCACCAACCTGGTGCTTTTGAAATAAAATAAAACAAACGCCGGGCGCGGTGGCTGAAGCCTGTAATCCCAGCACTTTGGGAGGCCGAGACGGGCGGATCACGAGGTCAGGAGATCGAGACCATCCTGGCTAACACAGTGAAACCCCATCTCTGCTAAAAAAATACAAAAAAACTAGCCAGGCGAGGTGGCGGGCGCCTGTAGTCCCGGCTACTCGGGAGGCTGAGGCAGGAGAATGGCATAAACCCGGGAGACAGAGCTCGCAGTGAGCTGAGATCCGGCCACTGCACTCCAGCCTGGGCGACAGAGGGAGACTCTGTCTCAAAAAAAATAAATAAAATAAAACAAACAAGCAAACAAACTTTAACCTCCATGGTCCAGAACAGGTCAAGCTTCCACTGGCTGAGGGCTAATCACTCACCCAAACCATGAGAATCTTGTCATGAGAAAATGTCCATGGAATTTACAGTTACTTCATGTGTTCTGATTACATAATAGAAGCAAGGCAGAAGGATGATGAGGCAGAAAGCACCACCCAAGACAACCAACAACATAGTTCCTTTTGTCACCACCCCTAAGTCCCTTGGCATACAGAAGGTGAAACAAGCACAAAAGGGATGAATGCATACGATTTGGGTTACCATAGCCAAGGCTGAACTTACCTGCTCCTAGAGCAATTGCTTCCAAAATCTTGTCCCCCAAACTCAAAGAGTTCCCTCAGAACCAAGCAACAAGCAAACTACTCTAGGATGGATTAACGCAGATAACAGAACCTGAGTCTAAAGAATGGCAGCTGAATTGTTCACAGCTGAAGCTTAAGTTAAAAAAAAAAAAAAAAAGTGTTAGGCGGAAACCAGCAACCTTCTCTTTCTGCCTACAGACTCTTGATTCGTCTCTCTTCCATCCATGTCTATTAGCACTACCTAAGTTCACACCATTATTGTCTTCTGTTTGATTTACTCCAACAGCCTCCTAACTGATCTCCCTGCCTTCAGTCCCATCTGCCCCATACCACATCCATTCTGCATACTATATCCAAGAGGACTCTTTCTAAAATGCCAAGCTGTCCATGTTATTTTTCCATTTAAAAGCCTTCAATCGCTCTCCACTGCCCTATGTTAAAATCCAAATTCCTGTGCATGGCATATGACTCTCCTGGCTTTTCCCCCAGTCTCATTTTCTCAGCAAACTCTCCGCCTCAAACTCCATCTTCATCTCCAAACAGATGACACTGTCTCAATGCCCCAGACTTGCTCTAGGCTGCTGCCTCCTCAGCCTAGACTGTGCTTTCAAGGCTAACTCCAACAGGCCCTACGGAATGATCCCTCCTCTAAATGGATATGTACCTTTCCTTGTGTTTCCATAGTAATAGGCACTTGCCTGTCTCACAGCACTAAAATTGGATTACAATTGTCTTTTGATTGTCTGTTTCCTCTACCCCTTTCCAGACTAAGTTGCTTGATGGCAGAGCCTGAAACTTGGTCATTATATCTCCTATGAACAAATACTATAATCTAGTGTTGCCTCCCTAAAATATCAATCCCTGGAGAAACTCTCCAAGTCTATTCCACCTCTTCATTATATCAATGAAGTGATTTAAGCCCAGCCAGGTGAAGTAAATCACTGAGGTCATATGATTAGGGGATAAGTTGGATACAGAACTCAGGCATCCAGACTCCAAAAGCCGCCATATCTTTGCATTCCCCAAATTCTTGTGCCTTTTTCCTATTCAATGTCCACTAACTCTCGCCTTTAGATAGAAAAGAACGGGAGTTTTATACATATATAAAACTTCATATACACATATATGAAGGAAGATGCCAGTTTCCCTTGCTTTCCTAGGGCATCATCAGAAACAGATTTTATCTTAAAAAAAAAAAAAAAAAAATTATCTGCCGGGCACGGTGCCTCACACCTGTAATCCCAGAACTTTAGGAGGCCGAGGTGGGTGGATCATGGGGTCAGGAGTTTGAGACCAGCCTGACCAACATGGTGAAACCCCATCACTACTAAAAACACAAAAATTAGCCGGGTGTGGTGGTGCCTGCCTGTAATCCTAGCTACTCAGGAGGCTGAGGCAGGAGAATCGCTTGCACCTGGTAGGCAGAGGTTACAGTGAGCAGAGATCACGCCACTGCACTCCAGCCTAGGTGACAGAGCGAGACTCCATATCCAAAAAAAAAAAAAAAAAAGGAAGAAAAGAAAAAAAAAAAAAGAAAAAAAATTACCCATGTTTTAGGGTTCAATTTGGGGAAGGACAACAAACACTATGCATGAGGGAAAAAAGCTACATTTCCTGAGCTAGTCCAACAGAGGGCAGCAACAACCAGCAAAGTGAATCACAGCACAGTCAGTACAAGCAAAACTGTTTTAGAATCCAATACAACACTCAAACAGCAAGCTCAATTATTAAAATAGAAACCTGCTGCTTCAGTATATTCAGAGTGTATTGTTTACTTAGTTAATACTATGTGTATTCTTCTTACAGATTCTATGTTGGCAAACGGTTTTGTTCAGTAGTCATTTTTTAATTGTATCATTAGTTGTGTGTATTATCTGAAATGTAGAATAAGTTCCTAGATCAAGACAAAAAAAAAAAAAAAAGAAAAAAAAGAAAAAATAGGAGTTCAGGAAGATAAATGCTACAGGAGCTTTATTTATGTATTATGTCTCAGATGTCCAAGCTTCTTAAAATTAAGTCTCTAATCATCCTACCTACATCTAAATGCATCCACTTTCATTATTCTCCTTGTTTGCTGTCAATTCTCTTCTGGTCCCAAACCAAACCCTTACTGTCCTAGCCTGGCTGTGGTAAATATCTCACTTCTTGGCCCTTCTATTCAGTCCTCCACTAAACATTAGCACTTTTACCTGTAACTACAAATATAGATACTGAAGGAAGCATAAATACAGAATGAAATTTTTTTTTAAATATCCAAATCTGGCTTATGAATCCAGATAAATAGG